ATTGCGATTACACCTCAGTCTTATAGAAGGTCGGTCGCGGCCCGGATAGCCCAGTAGTAACGTCTCACCGCCCAGTGATCAATCAGTTGTGAGATGATTTGTTATTTATAACTGCTTTTACAAAGTTTATGTGATTTTTATGTAATCTTTAGTGATCTGTTTCATTGCTATGTAATATCAGTACAGTAAATAAGAAAACGACTAAAAATAATTATATTTAATTAGAACTTATTGTCAATTTTAGTTCAATCTAAATTGGAATTTTATCCCAATTTTTGAGTTGCCATATTGATAAATTAGTTTGTCAAGTAAATGTTTAGTATCAGAAGGGGTTTTGTGGAGATTGTAGTCATTTCAGTAATTTAGATCATGAGTCACATGAAGCTAGACCACCATTGAAAATCTGGAAGCACTAGACGGCCGTTTCGTCCTAGTATGGGATTCCTCAGCAGTGCGAATCCACGATCCCGCTCCGTGTCGCATAAAAACAGGTACCTACCTCAGACAATGGAAGATGGTTGCACAGTTCCACGTTTTGGTCGAGGTTAGAGATTAACACCGTTGGATGCTGGCTGGCTCAGTGGTCTAGAGGTTAAGTGCTGCTGAGCAGGTCTGAAGGGTCCTGGGTTCGAATCTCGCGAGGCGGCATCGTGGATGCACACCGCTGAGGAGTCACATGCTGGGACGAAACAGCCATCTAATGCTTCCAGGTTTTAAGTGGTGGTCTAATATCAATCGGTTGAAGATCTTAATCAATAATTAGGAAGGTCATTTAAAATAGGTCAGAATGATTGGGAGTAAAGTGTCCAGTCGCAATCAGTAGAATAGTTTTATAGCAAAAATGAAAATGCAAAACAATTGTGTGAGTAAAATGCATAGTAGGAGAATTTCATCTTGTCAATTGAGATGATAATAATATTGTTGTGTGAATATAAAATGTAATAAAGATGGCGGGGGTGTTACCAATGTAATTACGATAAAGGAATTGGGAATGATGGATATGAAGATGAAGATAGAGGTAATCAAATAATAATAATAATAATGTTAAGGGGGCAAAACGGAAGGTGGTAAGAGGCTTATAATATTGAGTTTAGATATCCGGTGATCGAGTCGTAGACCAAGGTAAACCTAGAGCCTTGATATACCTTCTTCTGGATACATAAGTTTGGTTTTCTGGAGTTGATCCAGATTTCCTCGGCTATGTATAGTAGCAGTAATCTAGCACCTTCAAGTGGATATTTCGGAACTTGATATAAAATAGAGAAAGCTTCCTCAATTTTTGTATGATATTCATTATCTACCATGTGAGAAAGGATAGTGCTGTCAATCAATTTAGTGACTCCTCCTGCCAACCATGTTCATGAACACGCAAGGATAAAGCATTCTGAGTACGGCCTATGTAACTAGTCCCACAGGATGAGTTGAATTGGTATACATACATGGAGGAGTCCATCTTCAGTAATCTATTCTTGATTAGTTGTGTGAGTACTGGTTTAGTTGAGAAAATTATATGTAGCTTAGCGGCGTGAAACATCCTCTCAACAGATCTTTTGAGTCGACGTGTTAAAATATCACCCACTATTTCCACTTTAAACTCCAGTCTCATATATAGAGTTTTTTTACTGTGCCTTATTTTGACCTTTGTAAAATATGACAATAATTATGGACTTATAACTGTAGAGTCTGATGTTGAATTTATTGAAATAAATTGAAGATTAAGATAGAGGTAATCAAATAATAAGAATAATGTTAAGGGAGGAAGAGGAGTCGTGTAAGAGGCTTATAATATTGAGTTTAGATATCCGGTTGCGAATATCACAATTTTGAAGTGTATATGTCGTAACAGATGGAAACGTTCATAATTTTTAATATATATAACATTTTCACAGATTGAAATCATGAGTCAGTTGAAGCTAGACCACCACTGAAAACCTGGAAGCACTGGATCGTGGATGCGCACTGCTGAGGAGTCCCATACTAGGAAGAAACGGCCGTCCAGTGCTTCCAGGTTTTGAACGGTGGTCTGGCTTCAACTGACTCATGATTTCAATCTGTGAAAATTTCTAAAATCTCGACAAACCCCTTCTGATTTATAACATTGTCAAATTCATTAATACATGCCTTACTTTGGCCTTTATAAAATATCACAATGATTATGGAGTCTGATGTTGAAAACATTTATTCGCTCAAAAATTCTTCATTTTTGATTCATCTATGGGGATTTTTAATGTGCTAATATAAAGTGATTGATTAAAATATTAATAAAAAGTAAATATACATAAACTTTCATTAAAATCTTGTTTATTTCAAAGTAAATCTAAAAAGTCCGAAAAAACTGAAGTACCCACAGTAAGATTATTTACATAATTGATCTCAAATATGCATAATTAATATTAATTATAATAAAATGAAGATGGACATCAATAACTGAACAAATAGTCAAATTATTAATAAGCGAACATCAATTATTTTGTTAAACTTAATAGCTAAGATTAATGCTTATTTTGTGTGAATCTATATGTTTACAATAGTAAAATTGACGTTAATCATGATCATTATACATTACAAGTTTGTATCTTTCATGATTTATGAGTATAGTGAAAATTCCCATTACGATATTTAGTAAATAAAGAAGGAACGAATCGAACGTAGAAATTTCTTTCTATGCCGATGGCACGATATCGATAAACCATTTCCTTACTTCTTCCACTTTTGTTCTTCTTGCTTTTTGAACTTTGTGTTCTACATATTCTCAACATTCATCTCTTGATTCTTACACAACTACTATTCTACTGACCATTCATCAAAATATTCTGTTCATTCTATTTTTCATATGTTATGCAACGTAGTAACTTCTTGATTTTCAAACAATTACTTTGATTAGTGTCAATTCTCTTTCTTCCAATTACTCAATGTTAATTTAAATGTCCTTACTTAATTATTACGTAACGTGTCCACTCGATGAGTATTATTTCATTATTGTAAATCATGTATATACATTAGTGTAGAGACATGATGAAAACCTTATTGAATAGAGATTTCTTCGCTTGATTCAATCCTTCTTTATTTATGAATATCTTCTCTTTATCATGACATTCATCACGTCTTTTATTTTTGTTCACACTACATTTTTGTATGATTTTAAACAATTTGCGCTTGATAAATAATTTGGAATTGAAATAATGAATTCACTTTTTCTATGAACCGTCAATTTTATTTGAGGAAAAAAATGGTTTTTTTTGGATTAAACTCATACGTCGATAAACAGAATGGAAGATTAAGTCATTACATATATTTTTGGATAACACTTTATATTAATTTGGCTATATGGAGGCGATACGAACAGGATGCATATATACTATTATGAGGCTGAACAATTAGTTAGTTAGGTATTGTTTTTTATCACATATATTTAGCAAGTTAGCTGTTCAATGATATGTGTCAATTAATTATCATGAAAAATTATTCCAATAAGACGCTTAACAAACTATTCTGAAGTAAACTTCACCACAACTTACTACTAGTATAAACAATATGATATCTAAAGCAATTAGTCCCTTTTATAAATTTCGATAGAACAATGTACAATGACACTTATCACATATTCAATGGTGTTTAAAAGAGTTAAAAATAATCACAGTGTCAGTTCACAGTTAAACATCTATTGATTCAAAGCAATCTTATCAATGAAGAATATTTCTGAAATTATTTATGATATTTACTTTAAGAATACATAAGAATAGCTTTCTTTACATTGAATATTATTACCGCCCAACTTGTTTGTGTATAATTTATACAATACAAAGTTTTATTCACTATATATATATAATACCGCTCTAGTAGATTTCTATTGGTCAAATTTAAATGATTAATACTAATTTCGGAGACCATTCTATCGGAAACTTAATAGCAATAATGAGGATAATAACATTAATCAATTTAACCTAGAAACCAATTTTCTTTTCTTTTTTCCTTCCAAAACAAAATACATTAAAATTAATTGTTTCAAAATAATAATTAACTTTTCTAAATAACCATGTATACGTTGAAAAAGAACGATACATTAATTATTAATCATAAATAAACTTCAATTATAAGGTTTATTCAAACTTAAATAATAATAAGAAGGAAAGAGAGGTGTTCACTCTTCCTCTTCCTTTATATATTAGATATGGTAAATAAGAGTAAAGTGACATATAAAGTGTTTTTATAGAGATTCGAAGAGACAGTATAGATTGATCTTAGCTCAACAACCATTGAAAACCAGGCGACATTGATTTCTGGAGTTCTAGTGAGTAAGCCTAACAAATAGAGTTCAATCATGTAGAATATTAATCACTTACTCACCAATGCTTACGCTTTTCTCAGTTCAATGATATGTAATTATTATATTAATTTATGAACCAGTTCAGTGTAGTTTTTTCCACAGTATTGTAATTTCTGAGATGTATAGCTTAAATACGAAGTCTTTATTTTCTATATAAATTATTTCAAATAGACGTCGGCACTAGTAATCTGTTTTCAGAATAGCAATGAATGCTGTACCATTAAACGAAGACAACCATAAAGATACATCTCAACTAACAGTTTTCATTATTATTTATTCATAATGTAAGTTATTTGAAAATATGTGATGACATGAGTCAGCTCCTTTTATATGATTAAGTCAAACGTGATTTCAACCTCTATCATGCTTGTTTCATTTGAAATTGTATTTATCTAAATCATCAGCTCTAATAGCAGTAATTATATTCGAATATTTTGTATTTGTATTATATAAAACATAATAGTGGGTTTATCACTAAGGTGGAGTTATTTTCTCGGGGTTAGATATATAAAACTTTTCTTGCGTGCAAAAATATCAGTTTTCTTAGTTGATTCATAATTATCTACATTAATTAACACTCATTTCATAATTAATCGAACAGGTACTTTAGCATAAATTATTACTTTATCAGAAATACTCAAAAATGACTCTTATCTCCAAGTTAGAAACTTACTTAAGAAATATAGTTTTAAGCTATTTATTGATCCAGTAATTTGTATTTTGATTTCATTATTGTGATATCTTCAAATAGGTTGTGTAGTGATCCCAAAAACTCAATCAACTTTATTTGTATAAATTCACAAGCAACCAACTTAATTTAACTGAAAGAATCATTTGTTAGAGATAATCATTTAAAAGGGGTAGTAACATATAAGCAATATTTAATCCAATAGGTTGTTTGAGGATAACTGATTAGTTAACAGTACTCTGTATTCAAATCACTCTGGTTGACCTTCTGTGATGGAGTTGTTGACTAACAAACTGTAGTTATTTGTAACTTTTGTGATAATCTGAAGCATTATGTTCAATTGTTCTATTTATCTTCTATACAAAAGATTTACCGTCTACTGTACCAAAGCCCATATTGTAGCGAACAAGAACACCAGTGGGAACAATCGAATGTATTTGACACACAATTACAGGACTTGTTAATAAAATCTAACAATCACAAAGTAAATGCTTAATTTGCAAAATGTCTCAAAATGACTCAGACTTCATTGTTCTTGCATTTTCAAACAAATTGCTTTCTGTTTCGATTCTTTAATGTTCGATCCTCTTGTCTCTCTGCTGCCAGACATTGTGTTCACAACTAACATCATATACTACTTATGTTAATATAAGTAGCACACACCACAATATAATGATGGATTTATGCTATCATTTTTGCTGCATCTGTTTCTATTATCATTAAAATTATATCTTGTTTACCAATGACAAGTTCATTTTTATTATATCTATGTTTAGTATAGTATATTCAGTCACTGATGACATAAGATAATTTTGCTTCTACTTACGCATACATTTCATGATTTACACTAATAACGACATTGTTACAAATATCCAGTTAAAATTAATGTGGAAATAACGTCATTTCGGAAAACGTATGTAGTTTTGCCATTATAATCTATGAATTTGTATTAGATTGATCAGGCCTGTAAACTAGGGTGAATTTCCTAGTCGTTTTCAGAGTGTATATGTAATCATTAATTACTGGTTACGATTCTACCAAAATCTTTTGTCATTACAAGTCACTGGTGATTTTGTTTATGTGCAGTACAAGAATATAAGAATACAAGAATAAGAATACAAGAATACAAGAATAATATTGGTTCTCATCTTGCATGGGATGTTATATTCAAAAAAATATTGACAAATCAAGTTACCCAGTCTTTCCTATGTAAGGTAGAACTGGGAAAATGTGTTCATCAATTTAACTTTCCATATTCCATTAGCACAGTATAAATTAAATCGTCACGGCATATCTCGGTGCACTGGTGATAGTAATAGTATCGATTATAACAAAAAAATTGGAAAACATATGTCTAAGTGGAATAAAAATAATTTTTTAAGGTTGTAGTCTCGGTCCCTGTGTTAAGCACACACAGCTTATTCTAGCTTTCGGACAGACCAGTTAATTCATTTTACTTGAGTCACATTTTTACCTTGTTAATTATTTGCTTGCCAACCTTGATGGTTTTATAAGAGTGTAAATGTGTGCACTTCATATCTACAACTTATTTTTGTTTGGCTACAAATATCGATTCACTCTTAGCTAAATCGAGTTGGCTCGCTCGTCCTCTCCATTGCTTCATTTTCCGGTCAACGACTGTACAAAATATACTTGTTCAAGAAGCCATTATTACATTCGATTTATTTGATTCCGTTATTCACCAACGCGATTTAAGTCGATGATTATATACAAAAATTGGATACACGTATATTTCAATAACAATCAGAAACGATTTAACTAGAATCAGATATAGGGCCACGAAGAGGTAATTTGAAAACTCAGGATCTATGAGATGACGAAGAATGGATGCAGCTATGCCATGACGAACTATTTCATACTATATCACTGTAAGTCTCAAGCATTTGCTACAATAAACATACGAATCCAGACCAGGTAGTTTGTGCTTACCTACACTGCTCAGTCAAACCATCAACGTTTTTATCGACTGCTATAAGGATAAGAAGAGACTATTTCACATTCAATTATGAGCCAAGCAACAAAGTGTTTTCTTAAAACTCAATCACTTTCAACTCCATTAGCTTTTACAGATGCGTTTAAATTTTGATTTGTTGATTAAGTCTGTCTGTGATTAAGGAGAATGATATATATGTATGATGCATATTTAAATGGATGCCTGTTGAGAAGACAGTAAATGTCAAACAAGGAAGATGAGAGGAATGTTAGTAGACAAAAATTGAAAATATTGATTTGTAGCAGTAGTGTGTACATTATTCACACACGTTGGTAGACGCGTGTACGCGTGTGTCCTTGACAGCTTAACTATTACATTCACTGACACTAAATATAATTTTGTCTATGTCATTTTAAATTAAAGGCATAAAATAAAGCTGAAATGCATAGTTAAAAGTGATGGGATATCTATCTATAGTTTCTAAGTTCCAAAAATTTTAAGTATTTTCTAAAACGAACATGATAAATGGAACATAAACACCAACTTTTGTACATCTAAAATATTCTTTTTTCACCATGGCTACTAATTTCTCTTCACTGAAAGTTTTATTGTAATTGGTTACCGCTTGAGATTTAAAAAAGAGTATTTCTTTTCATTTCTTGATGGAATTTCATCAAATTTGAGCATGTGTAGCTATTTATTGCATTAAGAGATCAGGAGTAAGTATGCATTACAGGTAAGGACTTGACAGATACTTCACTCTGATGCCACCACAATCAGCTTGTATCATACAAAAGGATATAAAACATCATCTATAGTAAGATATATCCTTGTACCATGTAAGTGATTATTTATATCCCTGTTTGGGTACAGCCATTTTATAGCACTATGATTGCACAATCTTTGTTAGTAAACGATCAGTAGTCATGGCTTTTCTGTAATTGAAAGTTATATAAATGTTGACTAATAATCTGGATAGTAATAATGACAATTCAATATAGCTTAATCCTAATAAATTCAACTGCTCAAAAATACTTGGCTGTTAAGTTTCACTTTGATAACAGAGAATTGTAGACGTAACTTATAACGCAATGGAATAAATTGGGAAATAATTGGAAGGCTCTAAGTATTGAAGAATTATTTCAATTGAACGTTTAAACTATAATGCAAATAAATCAACAGACAATTAAACTTGAAACCTTTAAGTATCAGAGCAGAGATTGTACATTTAAACTCTCCATTTCAACGTGATGGTGAGCACATGATATCAGTTTTTTTTAATCTACAAAACTATTTTAAAAACGATTGAAATCATTTACTACAAAGAAAGATTATCATGTGAACAGTTGCAAAGCAAGTTGTTTAATGAGGTGCATCATGTTGCTATAAATTCAGAAATTAACACAAAGTAATTGGATGGTATATTTCTTTCAAATATCGTTAGTATTGGATATCTGTGTTCCATAAATCAAAACAGTCGTTTAACTTACCGACTTTATAAATCATTTATTTCTAACCAGTTATTTATCGGAATTCCAGAAGAAGTTAATTTTTTAAAATCAGTGTTTGCCTAGCTTGTTATCAAACATTTTAAATACTTTTGACAATGAAATAACATTCAATTATTATAATTAGGTTACATGATTTGATTAAATTAACTGTCCTGAAGTAGATTAATTATAGAAATGAACATAATTAAAATTAGTCAAGAGTTTTTTGATGAAATAATCTGTTTGACGGTGACTAATGAATCTGTAATCACCTGAGACAAAAGTAATCAATACACGTGTCATTGTTCGATAAAGCTTTCTGTGACAACCAATAGTTTTTTCGTCACTAGTGACTTAATTTATTCCTTAGCTTATTCCACCAAAATGATCTTGAAAATCTTGACAATTATTGAAAGTTTAGATGGCTACACTTAAAACAAAAAAAATCATTTTTGTTTGTAAATGGCGCTATTAGATTGATTCTTATTATATAAAGTTAAGTATTGATCCGTCCTATAACATTTAATTCAGTCGCTTGTCATGAGTGTAGAACATTCAGGGTAGACTAATCAATAAGATATGGTCGACAATCAAAGTAAAACAGTGTTTTCGCTTGTTTTTAAGGCAATTTGAAAATTGCTTATTAACCGATAATCTAGTTTATATCTATTTAGAATGAGTTTGTCGAAAAAATTCAAATAAGTAATATGCAAAATAACTACAAAGAATTTCCAAGTTATTACACTTGTACCGTCGTAAGTTAAAACACTTTTCACGTGGGTAGTGAATAAGAAGATCTATAATTACAAAAAATGCCTATCGTTATTTTCTTCAAAACTTAGTCTCTTATTCATTTGTATTAGTTGTATGAATCTTCTAATTGATATTTATGATTGCAATTGATCAGTCGCTTCTTTTTAATCTCTTATTGCAACGAAAATCTCATCATGGTACATTCCATATATTCAAGGTCGTTTTTGTTTAAAATAGCTAAGAGTAATGAGATGAGTAATACTAACCATTTCAACCTAAAACACATGTCATTTCCAATCTAGGACTAATTTCACATGACAAACAATTAAAGGTTGAGAAAAACGAAATGCAATTTGTCCTCGTTTGTGGCTGTTGAATATTAAACGCTCCAGAGTTTGTGGGTTATTCAAATCAGGAAGTACACGTAATTAGGCATAAATAGTATCATTAAACCATTTATTAGCAAACCAGTGGTCTGAATTTTTAACTCTACTCAGTTTTCTATATTTCGCGACGATTATCCAATGGGGATTCCTTTTCTTTTGTTATAACCAGTAAAGTTGAACTTCATTGGTTATGATTTTGCACCTAAATGTTAAGAATCTGTATTAAAGCTGTTCACTTGGGTACAATATGAAATAGTTTCATGTTAGGAACAGACAACTATTAAGTAATTTTTTGATTTTTATTAGTCCTGTAGCTGATATCAGGATACGATGAAAAAGATTATTTTGAAAAGCAATCTCCAGAACCCGCATATCTGAAAAAGATGGTGGCCACTATCAAAACAGGTTAAATTGTCTCGTAAAGGTGAATTAAAGTAGTCTAATTATTTGTAAGCTTTGAAAATTTGTACCAGTTAGTGTGAAGTCTAGAAACTTAATGGATCATTGTAAATATTAATGGTGTATGTAAAAAAATCAGTTTTGCAAATGGTGTTCTAGAGGTTAAGCGTTTGCGTGCATGGCCGAAGTTCCTGGGTTTGATTCCTGCGTGTAAGATCGTGGTCTCAGACTGCTTAGAAGCCCCATATTAGGACCAAACGTCCATCCAGTGCTTTCGGGTTTTCAATGGTGGTCTAACTAAGTTTGATTCGTGATTTCAATGGCAAAAATACATGAAATAATTTCAGCCTTTTGGTATTTTATTATCTTTATAAAAATGTTGATTTTAGTTTGTTCCTTCTGAATCTACCCGAGGAAGTAAATTTTCCCTTGACTTGCCTGTCTAACTTAGTAAGAGAAGTGGTTAAGCTCATTAAGTCAACTAGTGAAAGTCAATTCACAGTAAATACTGAATTAACATTACAATTTAACTGGGAGTGAAGTATACCGTGGGAACTTATCAACTGAAACTTAGGTCAGCAACGGGAGATCCTCGCACTTAGAAGCAACTAATGACACGTTGTCTAGCCTTTGTGCTAGTAACCAAACTGAAAAGTGTTGAACGGGATTTGACCGGGAGTAACGACTCTATAACATTACTTTTATTTCTGCCAAACGAGAAATTGTTCTGTAAATGTATTTGTCCGAAAGGAAGGAAGTAATTTCATGAATTACTCAATAAGGCAATTCGTTATTGCGATGCTAGGTGATCTGCGTTTGAATCCCATCGATAATATCAGTCTCAATAAAACTGTACGCTCACCTTACTGACAAGTTCAAACTAGCACGAAACTAGGTTTCAAAGTATTCTTGCAATTGCTTTCAACTTCACGATATAGCTGAGTGATATCTTATTCAGTATTTAGAATCTTGTATCAACGCATTCAAGATTATTTGTGATTATCAGTTACTATGTAAGACTTTTCAGTTAATTTGATGACGAAGCTATGTTAACTACCAGTATATAACTGGACCATTTGTTCAGTTATCAATGAGATTAACGTTTTAATGGATCGGAAATAATTATTAACACTGACCACTGAAAATATATCCTCGGTTAATTGAGGATATCCAAAATGTCATAATAAATGTTTTTGATTAAGATCATGAACCGATTAATATTAGACCACCATTGAAAACCTGGAAGCACTGAACGGCCATTTCATCCTATTATATGGCTCCTCAGCAGTGTGCATCCATGATCCCTCTCACAGGATTCGAACCCACGGTCTTCGATCCAGTGCTTCCGGGGTTCCAATGATGGTCTAATATCAATTGGTTCATGATCTCAATCAAAAACACAATAATCTTCACAATCCTGTACTGATAATATATGTTTAATCAAATCGTTTAGGAATCAAATTAATATTCGTTTATCATTATTTATTAATTACTTGTAGGCATGTCGACAAACAGAAAAGTGTAACCCAAAAAAGCTAATCAAAATTTCATTACATTATGTGTTTATATAAATATTTGGTTATATATTCTGTCAGTCTAATCTGAATTCCTTTATATTCAGTCATGGTTATCACATTGAAAAAAAACGGGTTTTTACAATTTCTTTTTCCTTGATATTCAAACGTCAATCTTGATGGATGAACATATTAACTCTTTAATAAAAAACAAAATATATCCGTAATGTAAACTGCCAATGAAGTTTAAGTATTACTATTAATAATAACAATAATTAAGATTAATAATTTTACTGTAACTGCTCCTAATATCATGATTATTGATAAAACACCACTATGTTATGTGAATTTTTTTTAGTTGGATAATAACTACTTTTTTTAAAATTAAGTTTTGCCAACTATTTGTAGATATACTGATATACAGTTTGTCTAAATTTGTATCAGTAGGATTGAACAAACGGTATATCCTGAAGTTCTAGTGTGAAGCAGTGATCAATGGACTGCAACCAAGTCTGTCGTCAGATAGTAGCTCACTGAAGATAATGTTGGACGGTGGCGAAATTTCGTGGATTGGTTGAATAAAGACATTAACGCCATTGGATGTCGGCTCAGTGGTCTAGAGACCGATAGGTCCTAGGTCCGAATCTCGTGAGGTGGGATCGTGGATGCGAACTTCTGAGGAGTCCCACACTAGAACGAAACGACCGTCTATTGCTTCCAGGTTTTCCATGGTGATCTAGCTTCAATCGACTCATAATCTCAACTGTTGAAATGACTATTATATCCACAAAAAGCCTTTTAATATTTCTAATTGTAAGATTTATATATAAGAAATAGTACAACACTCATTTATGGCAAATTATCAGTAAAGGGGTTGTGAAGATTGTTAAGCTTTTGATTGAGATCATGAATCAATCGATGTTAGACCACCGTTGGAAAACTGGAAGCACTGGACGGCCGTTTCGTCCTAGTATGGGACTATTCAGCAGTGCGCATCCACGATCCCGCTTACTGCGAGATTCGAACCCAGGACCTA